GGTCCCAGGTGGGAAGGTGTCAGTGAAGCCAGGAGGACGGCGCAGCCAGATCTCCTCGTGCAGTCGGCCCTGGAGGAACGCAGTGGAGAAGTCGAGGGAGTGCAGCTCGTAGTCTCGCTGCGCTGCTATGTGGAGTAACACCCGAAGAGTAGTCATCTTCGGGGTCGGGGCGAAGGTCTGGAAGAAGTCAACTCCCTCACGCTGACTGAAGCCCCTAGCCACGTAGCGCGCCTTGAACACCGGCGGTGCTCCAGGCGGCCGCTTCACCTTGAAGAGCCACATGCCATCGACTACGTTCGCCCTGGGAGGGGGAACTGCGTCGACGTAGGTGCCTGTGGATCTCCAAGACGCCAACTCTGAGTCCATAGCCGCTTTCCACTGAGAGGCCCACGCCCCTGACACTGCCTCGCGGTAAGTGCGAGGAGTCGGTATGTCAAGGGCGTCGGGGTCTCCCTCAGGGGAGAGCAGCATGGCACACACAGAGGGAGAAGCGGCTGCCCAGTACTCCAGCTCAGACTCTCTGTCCTCTAGGACGTCACAGCCAAGGGCAAATCCACCCCCGACGGACAGAGGACGGAGGAGGAGACGGGAGAACGGACACAGGAGAACGACGATGAGACGAACAAAGGAGGGCTGTGTGAAGGTCGGTAACAGGGGACGAGTGACGGGCACGTGGAGGACAACGAGTGATCAAGTCGTGACGGACAGAAGGAGGAGGAGACTGAAGAGGAGGAGAAGACCAGACCGCCGGACGGTCGTCAGGAGGAGGCAACGGAGGGACAAACACAGGAGGAGACAGGGAGCGGACAGGAGGAGAGGAGGTAAGGCCAAGGGCCCGCAGGCCACTCACAGGTGGGAACAACCGCCGTTCCAGAGGAAGCTGGACCTTCTGGCGGCTGCGGCTGCTGCTGCTGCTGCTGCTGCGGCTGCGGCTGCGGCTGCGGCTGCTGTTGCTGCGGCTGCGGCTGCTGCTGCTGCTGCTGCTGCTGCCGCTGCTGCTCCAGAAGGTCCAGCACCCGCAGCTCCTGTCGCTCCCTCTCCAACCGCTCCTGCTCCTCACGCTCACGCCGACGGGCTGCATGGAGACGCGTGTCGTGGCGGTGGGGAGGCGGAGTGGACTCCGCAGAACCAGGGTCTCCAGCGTCAGTCTCCTCAGACTCAGCACCCCCAGAACCAGCACCTCCAGTGCCAGGACCTCCAACTCCAGCACCCCCAGAACTAGCACCTCCAGTGCCAGCACCTCCAGCTCCAGCACCCCCAGAGCTAGCGCCACCTGCGCCAGCACCTCCTGCTCCAGCACCCCGCGACCGAGCATCCACAGACCGAGCACCGCCAGCGGCTGCACCTCCAGCTCCAACACCAACCAAGTCCACAGTAACCTGTCGCGGAAGTGCCGAAGGCTGCTGAGGGGACTGTGAGGAGGACTGCGGGGAGGGAGACGCTACCTGACGCGCGACCGAGGGTAGAGGGGTAGCGTGGGACACACCAGACGGGGCAGGACCAGGGGGGGGCGGGGGTACCGGAGGAGAGGGAGCAGGAGGAGGAGAGGGTGCGAGGAAAAGAGGGGGAGGGGGTACCGGGAGACCTCGACAGGGGTACCGGGTGTAGTAGGACACGGACTCGTCAAACCGGACGTCACGGGAGTCTAGGAACTGGTGGAGGGGAGGGTGGTAAAAGGACCAGTCGGCAGAGTCCACTGGGAAACCAAGGGAGACACAGGGGACGGCGCGTGCCGAGAGCTTGTCCGCGGAGGTGTCGCGAACAAGCGCAAGGCAGCCCCAGACTCGAAAGGCCGACCCGACACCAGGGGAACCAGTCCAAAGACTGGTCGGTGAAGCCTCGGGCCGCGAGACACGCGGCTGGAGGTTCAGCTGGTGTGCGGCGTAGCGAACCGCGTGGGGCCACAGAAAATGGGGCGCACGGGCATGGATCATGGACGTGCAGGCGATGTCCATGACCAAGCCTATGCGGCGCTCAGCAACCCCATTCTGCTGTGGGGACTCTGGCAGCGTCCAGGACTGGGTGATGCCATGTTCGCCGCAGAATCCGCCGAGAATGCCGGAGCGAAACTCGCCCCCACGGTCGGAGTGGAGACAACTGACTCGACGACCACGAGTGCCCTCAGTGGCTAGAAGCCACCTGATCAGCGTAGCAGTCACCTCGGACTTCTTCGCAAGAGGGAACACTGTGGTGTACCTGGAGAAGTCGTCGACGACCACCAGAAAGTAACGCTCCCTCCCAGACCCCTGCGTCGGGGCAGGGCCCCAGACGTCCAAGTGGAGAGTCTCGAAGGGAGCGGTGGCCGGACGAAGGGAGGAGGAGTGGGGAGTGGCGCGTAAGCGATCGGCGACGCACGGAGAGCAAGGAGGGGCAAGCGAGAGAGGGAGCGACGGGAAGGTGCGTGGGAGACCTATGACTAGTCCCTGACTGAGCATGCCACGAAGGCGAGGGATCGACGGGTGGCCAAGACGGTGGTGCCACAGGACGGTGCGGTGGGCGAGAGAGCGACAGGAGCAAGACGCAGCGACTGGACTGGACACAGCGACCGGACTGGACACGACTACCTGGCTAGACACAGCAACTGGAGTGGGGACCTGGGCCGGAGGGGACGCAACGACCTGAGGGGAGGACGCGACCGGGGAGCGCTCGGTGTGGAGAACGTAGAGACCGGAGCGGGGCTCCCTGGTGAACGTAGCCAGAACAGCACCTGTGGTAGCGTCAGTACAGACTGCAGTCCGCCCACCCCCCACGAAGGTAACCGTGATCCCCCTGTCCTGGAGGTATCCAACACCCACCAAGTTCCGAGTGAACGAGGGGATGTGGAGGCCGCGCAGGACACCAGAGGGGACCACAGGGCACGGGAGGGTGGTGGAGCTACGCGCAACGGCTGGTCCAGAGGTAGGATCAGCCAGAGCCACTGACACAGGAGTGAGGAGTGGCGTAAGGGTCGTGTGGTCGCGGAAGAAGCACTGAGACGCGCCCGAGTCCAGCGTGAACGACAGAGAGGCCTCAGCCGGAGGGTCACCTGACCCAGTCGCTACACAAGCACCTAGAGTAGCAACACAAGCACCTAAGCTAGACAGGCACAAGGCTACACTAGCAGGAGGCAAGCATGCTAAACTACGAACACGCGAGCACACAGATCCCTCAGCACTAAAGTCAGCATCAACATACAAAGCATGCTGACGCGCATCGTCCATGGACAAATCAAAGACATCAATCTTACGGGTTAACAGACGAGACCAGCGAGGCGTGACCGCCAGGGGGCCCCAACGAGCCCGGTAGAGGTCGTCGAGGCGGCGGAAGCACCGCGCGGCAGAGTGGTCGTCGCGACCACAGAGACAGGGGCTGCCCGGCCCGGTGAGGCACCAGTGGGTGCAGGGGCCAGCGTCACGGCGAGGGGGGCGAGGGGCCCAGCTGGAAGAGCTGCTGCTGCGGCTGGTGCTCCCAGGGCCTCCCGGACCCCACTGCGTCGGGGGACCCCAGTGCTGCTGCGGACCCCACTGCAGCGGGGGCCCCCACTGCTGGAACTGCTGCGGTGCCTGCTGCTGCTGCTGTCCCTGCTGCTGCTGCTGTCCCTGCTGTGGCTGGTGCTGCTGTGGCTGCTGCTGCTGGGGGGCAGCACCCCCACCGGTCGGGCCACCACCTGTGAGTGGACCTGTCTGTCCTGCGCCTCCTCCAAGGCCCCCTCCCCCTGGTGCACCACCGCCGCCGCCGCCGCCGCCTCCACCACCACCGCCGCTCCCACCTCCACCGCCCCCTCCACCGCCACCTCCTCCGCCCCCACCTCCCTCCTTCCCGCCCTGCTTGCCACTCTTGCCCCGTTTCTGCCAGTCTGCGGCAGAAACGGCAGCGGTGTCCTCAGAGACCGACACAGCAGCAGAAGCGCGGGTAGCGGTGAAAGTGGGAAGCTGAGGGGCGGCACACCCCGCAAAGAGATGGGGGGCCACCGCATCAGTGGCGGAGGCAACGGTGAGGAGGCTGCTCTCGATGGTCCCGAGAGCAGTCTGAAGGAGGTCTATAGTGAGTTCAGTGGGGTGCTTCTGAAGAAGCGCGTCGCGGGCAGTGGCAAGGCGGTCAGGGAGGCGGGTGACTAACCAGTGCACAGTGAGCCACATGGGGGGGGGAGCAACAAGGAGCTGTGCGTCGGTACAGGCCGAACGAAAACCGGCGTCAAGCGAGCGGAGGTGAGTCACTAGGTCGGAAACAGTCGCAAACGAGCCTAGGTCGGGAAACACGAACGGCATGAGGTGGCGACTGAGGGAGGCGGAGGAGGGGGTGGAATAGCGAGCCACAATAGCATCCCAAACCCCCTTGGCTGTCTCCACCTGGTCAAAGTGTGGTCTAGCGCTGCCAGGTACCGAACTCGATCGGGCGTCCCTCAGCATCGAAACGGAGGCGACGGGCCGCCATAGCGGAGCCCATGCTAGAGGCGACTGGAGCACGGCGGAGGCGGAGCTAAGAACGAGGAGGAAAACTACGGAGGGCTAGGGACGCCAGCGGGGAAACCGACGAGAGACAGTCGGCGAGAAAATAGTCGTGGGGCGGGGCTCTAACCGAACCTAGGTGGCGCTACCGGAGGGAAGAGCGGCTGCCAGCCGCTGAGCCGGGAGCCAAGTGCAGTATGAATGGCGTGGGACCGGTGCACAGGTGAAGGGGAGAGAGATGCAGTAAGCGCACAGAGTGATTCGGTAAGTGTACGCAGGTGTGCGGTAAGCGCACGCAGGTGTGCGGTAAGTGTACGCAGGTGTGCGGTAAGCGCACGCAGGTGTGCGGTGAGTGCACGCAGGTGTGTGGTAAGTGCACGCAGGTGTGCGGGAAGCGCACGCAGGTGTGCGGGAAGCGCACACAGAGTGATGCGGTAAGTGCACGCAGGTGTGCGGTAAGCGCACGCAGGTGTGCGGTAAGTGCACGCAGGTGTGCGGTAAGCGCACGCTGGTGTGCGGGAAGCGTTGACGGAGGAGGGCGCGCGACAGGCGGAGGGGAGGGCACGCGACGGTCTAAGGAGGGCACGCGACGGTTGAGGAGGGCGCGCGACGGGTGAGGAGGGCGCGCGACGGTTGAGGAGGGCGCGCGGCGGTCTAAGGAGGGCGCACGACGGTTTTGGAGGGCGCGCAACGGTGGGGGAGGGCGCGCGGAGGTCTAAGGAGGGCGCGCGACAGGCTGGACAGCGCGGGAGGGCGCGGGCTAGGCGCGAGGAGGGCGCGGAGGGCGCGGAGGGCGCGAGAGCACGGAGGGCGCGTAGGGCGCGGAGGCTAGCTAAAAACGAACGAGGATCTAACCTACTCGTTATACCATCTCAGAATAGGAATGCAACGGAACGTGCGAAACTAGAAAGTGTGAGAGTACAAATATGCAACCCTAACAACTGTACTCCCTATTGTGCTACTCACTGTAGCCTACAAGCATAGAATTACATTTGACAGCTACTGCTTTTGCGTGCTACTGCTTTGTTCTGCTTTGTATACCCCTGCAGGTTGTGCTTTGCACTTTGCTATTCCTGCATGCAGTTAAGGGGGGATGTCAGAATAATGTTGTTATAACTGCATGTAGTTCTAGCGTTAGTGTAGTTATCCTGATTTCCTGCTTGGTGGTGTACCCTCTTTCCTACCCTATATGTTGTGACCCTCTCCATAGTGAAGCCCTCTTCTCTCGTTAATCTCGTTCTACCCTAGGCTACTAAGCCTAGTACCATCTTGACACCCGGGTCTTAAAAAATTGCTGCCACCATAATGTCCAACCTAGCACATTTTCATGCATTTGTAGAGAGTCCCCCGGGTCTTATAGTCGGCACTATACGGTATTAGATGGTTCATGCATGAATTGCTGCAAATGCAGTGTGTGGTTCAAGCATATGGCACTTTGTGGTTGTGGGTCGTGTTCAAATGTACTCAATGAGTAAAATGATAGTCCATCACATGGAATTATTCATGACAAAAGGTCATTGTACCTAGAGTCGCCGTCACCAGCCATCATCACCGGAAACAGCATTGGCCCCGTGAGGCAAACCGTTATTGTACCTACCGGTAGAGTCGTCATTACCGTATGTCACCTTCTTTCCCCACCTCCATGGGACATGCCCCAACGGATACCGTATACCAAAAAGCGATGCAAAATGCAGGTGCCTGCGCCATGGGAGACGTGACGTGTCACACGAATCTTGCCGCGCGAGGCTGAGCGGCGAGAGGCTGAGCGGCGAGAGGCTTGGATACGTCCGCACGCATCTCTCAGCGCTTTGCCCTAAAAAACGTATCCAGCCGCTCTGGCTTCCGCCTCTGCCCTTTCCGCTTCCGCAATCGCTTCCGCCAATCGCTCATTCTGTCTCCGCACCTCCTGGTCCGCCTGTCTCTTCGCATGCACGGCTTCGTCAACGATTTTCTTCGCCTGGTCCATTTCGCCAGCGGCCTCCGCCACTCGCTTGTTCGCCTCGTCCATTTCGAACTGCAGCTTGTCGATGCTCGGCATCTTGATGGCGGCGCTCGACGATTTCGATTTCGACCGTTTCTTCTTCGCCGCGAGAGCACCGCTCGTGCATAGCGCGAGGACGAGGACGAGGCAAAGAACAGATCGCTTCCAGTGAGCCATGCTAAGCTGAAAGAAAGTCAAACGTCGGATTGGATGGTGAAATCTGACGGTGAGCTTCACGGAGTTGAGAATGCGGCCTTTGCGATGCTGGAGGAGCTGGAATTGAGGGCTAAGTCACTTGACCTGATCGCGAAACGAAGAATCTTGCCGCGCGAGGCTGAGCGGCGAGAGGCTGAGCGGCGAGAGGCTTGGATACGTCCGCACGCATCTCTCAGCGCTTTGCCCTAAAAAACGTATCCAGCCGCTCTGGCTTCCGCCTCTGCCCTTTCCGCTTCCGCAATCGCTTCCGCCAATCGCTCATTCTGTCTCCGCACCTCCTGGTCCGCCTGTCTCTTCGCATGCACGGCTTCGTCAACGATTTTCTTCGCCTGGTCCATTTCGCCAGCGGCCTCCGCCACTCGCTTGTTCGCCTCGTCCATTTCGAACTGCAGCTTGTCGATGCTCGGCATCTTGATGGCGGCGCTCGACGATTTCGATTTCGACCGTTTCTTCTTCGCCGCGAGAGCACCGCTCGTGCATAGCGCGAGGACGAGGACGAGGCAAAGAACAGATCGCTTCCAGTGAGCCATGCTAAGCTGAAAGAAAGTCAAACGTCGGATTGGATGGTGAAATCTGACGGTGAGCTTCACGGAGTTGAGAATGCGGCCTTTGCGATGCTGGAGGAGCTGGAATTGAGGGCTAAGTCACTTGACCTGATCGCGAAACGAAGAATCTTGCCGCGCGAGGCTGAGCGGCGAGAGGCTGAGCGGCGAGAGGCTTGGATACGTCCGCACGCATCTCTCAGCGCTTTGCCCTAAAAAACGTATCCAGCCGCTCTGGCTTCCGCCTCTGCCCTTTCCGCTTCCGCAATCGCTTCCGCCAATCGCTCATTCTGTCTCCGCACCTCCTGGTCCGCCTGTCTCTTCGCATGCACGGCTTCGTCAACGATTTTCTTCGCCTGGTCCATTTCGCCAGCGGCCTCCGCCACTCGCTTGTTCGCCTCGTCCATTTCGAACTGCAGCTTGTCGATGCTCGGCATCTTGATGGCGGCGCTCGACGATTTCGATTTCGACCGTTTCTTCTTCGCCGCGAGAGCACCGCTCGTGCATAGCGCGAGGACGAGGACGAGGCAAAGAACAGATCGCTTCCAGTGAGCCATGCTAAGCTGAAAGAAAGTCAAACGTCGGATTGGATGGTGAAATCTGACGGTGAGCTTCACGGAGTTGAGAATGCGGCCTTTGCGATGCTGGAGGAGCTGGAATTGAGGGCTAAGTCACTTGACCTGATCGCGAAACGAAGAATCGATAAGGAAGAAAGATATAGCATGGATATCGTGTGGTCCCTTTAGGGCGTGGAACATTGTAACGACCATGTCAAATGGTTGCCCATATGTTTGCGTCAGGCGAAAGCGAAGGTTGTAACAGAGATGCGAAGGTTGCGAGATTTCTATGTGATTCTGTTCGCCAGAACGTAGGGCACCCACTAAAAACCACCCCCAATAATTAGAAACATTTAAATTCGACTTTAAGCATTCGAAAGCGGTGTGGGATGTTTGGGGGAGCGGAAATGAGTCAAAAACATTCCGGGGTAATTACTGGAAGTAAAATATTGTTCCCTTTTAATGGATAGTGTGGGTAGAGACCCCTAGAAACTTACGGGAGATACCACTGATTTTAGGTCAAGTCAGGGTGACTAATATGCGTGCCAGTCAATGCGGTTTCCCTAACTTCTTCGCAATCGCCAGAAACAACCATACATCCGACCATTTGGCGTGGTCGTTACAATGTTCCACGCCCTTATGTACGTGCTGGGCCTTCGAGATTTTGAGCCTTCTGCTGCTGCTGCTGTCTCTTCTGCACTGCATTCGTAGGTGGCAACGGAAGAATATTATCGGGGTTGAGCGTGGTTCAAGGGTCTACCGTGCATTTCTGAACGGCGAAAAGTGAGCCTGTGGGGAGTTACTGCTTCCGCCGAGCCGCGTTGCGTCCAGCTGCCCAGGTTGGTTTGAATTGAAAAGCAGCTGAATGGAGGAGTATGGGTGTGACACCTTCGTGGACCGTATGGGTTGGGTGGGATGGGAAGTGAGGTGGTGCTGGTGAGATGCAAACGCGTACAAGATGGAGCTTGTCGATTGTGATAGACGGGGATGTATTTATGTGAAAGTAGAAACAACCTAATGATAACTGACCATACGTTAGATTAAGAATACATAAAACATTCGTCCAGCAATGTAGGAAATAAATCGTTACTGGTTTTGCAACGTGTAAAGAACTTTTTTGTTCTTTAGATGGTTCCCATAATTCCATAAGAGTCACATGACAGATCAGATATCGTTCGCACTAATAATTGAGGCCCTTCTCATCTCTCTCGCCTCTTCCGCCTCTACCTACATGTAACCTGTCATCCTTGTTGCCTCTTTCCCTGTCTCTGTCTCTGTCCTTGTCCCTGTTCTTGTTCATGTCCCTGTCTCTCTCTGTCTCTGTCTCTCTCTGTCCCGAACTTTCCATTATTAGAATACGTGGTCGATACAGCACACTAGGAATTCAGTTATAAAAGCAAAGGTGAACTGACTACAGCAGCTAATGCCACGGCTCAATCACATGCATGAGATCTCCGAGGCTAAGAGGCTCCTCCTGGTAGTGTGTAGAAGCTGCCCCGGCGTCAAAGCCCGACAAGCTCTTACCCATGAGCGCGTCTGCCAGGGCGCGCTGCAGTGCGACAGAAAAGCACTGCCGGTAGGAGTGGTAGAGCTTCTCGGCTACCCGTAAACCCCGCCCTGCTTTGTAGCGCCGCTCGGCCCCAAGGTTGGCGCAGAGGCGGAGAAATTCAAGCACCCCGGGGGAGCAGCCCCCATACATCTCCACCTCCATTTCTAGGAATCCGACCTGGCCCGCGCGGTTTCCGTGCTTGTGCTCCTCGGACCGTGCCGCTGCGGATGCGTCCCAACCTTCGGCCTGCCCTGCTGTCGGGTCTTGAGGTGAGGAGAATGGGTCGGTGACGGTTATGTAGCACAGCCACACCGCCCCCGAGTCTGGGTGCCGGATGGCGAGATCCGTGTGCAAGCCGTCCAGCTCAATGCCGGATAAGTAAAGGGTCGGGTCCACCTGGACACCGAAGCCCGCTTGCCTTGCAATGCGGGCGCACTCCTTGCGGAGCGCATGGTGGATGCCAGCTTGCACTTTCTCTGCTCTGCACTGACAGAGATGGTTGGGTAGGCAAGGGTCCGGGATCTCCGTCTGGTCTTTGCCTCTGCCTCTGTCTCTATCCATGTCTGTTTCTCTGTCTCTGTCTCGCGTTCTGGCCCTGTCTCTGCCTCCACCTCTATCTCTGGTCTGACTCCCCCCCTTCACCTCTCCCGTTGGCTGGTTGTGGTGTTTCAGCACAGTCGCCTCCACAGGACCACCCCCACCCATCACACCCCCGCCTGACTCCACACGACTGCCATTCCCCGCCACTGCATCAGCTCCCCCCCCTTTCTCATTCCCCACGCGTGCCCTCTCCCGCTTCAGTATCTCCCTGTCCCTTGAGTCACATCTCACTGCACTCACGTTCACCGCCTGACTGCGCAAGGGCGTTTTGTTTGTCGCAGGCTCTCGCCCCCTCTCCCACTCCTCCCTCTCATTCCCGTTGTTTGTCGCAGGCTCTCGCAGACTTTTTCCTTTTCTTGCTTGGCTGCCTCGACCTTTGGTCCCAGTCACCCCAGCTGCACCACCCACTCCTCCTCGTATCGCCAGCCGCTGCATCGCTGCTGTTGCTGCTTCAGCCGCTCTCTCCGCTTCAGCCGCTCTCTCCGCTTCAGCCGCTCTCTCCGCTTCAGCCGCTCTCTCCGCTTCAGCCGCTCTCTCCGCTTCAGCCGCTCTCTCCGCTTCAGCCGCTCTCTCCGCTTCAGCTGCTCTCGCCTCTTCAGCTGCTCTCGCCTCTTCAGCTGCTCTCGCCTCTTCAGCTGCTCTCGCCTCTTCAGCTGCTGCTGCTGCTTCAGCTGCTCTCGTCTCTTCAGCTGCTCTCGCCTCTTCAGCTGCTCTCGCCTCTTCAGCTGCTGCTGCTGCTTCAGCTGCTCTCTCCTCTTCAGCTGCTCTCGCCTCTTCAGCTGCTCTCTCCTCTTCAGCTGCTCTCTCCTCTTCAGCTGCTCTCGCCTCTTCAGCTGCTCTCTCCTCTTCAGCTGCTCTCTCCTCTTCAGCTGCTCTCGCCTCTTCAGCTGCTCTCTCCTCTTCAGCTGCCCGTTCCACTCTCCCTGCAGCTGCATCATTCTCTCCAGCACCTAAATTCCCCACTGCATGTTCCTCACGCACCTCAACTGCCCGCCCTTCCCTCCCACGCCGCGCACCCACCAGCCCTCCTATCACCAGTCCTTGCGGCGCCTTCGCGGCAGCTTCCACAGCTGCCTCGCCTGCTGCTTTCCGTGCTGCTGCACGCCTCTCCACCCAAACCCTCTCCTTGCGCACGTCCCGAACGGTGCGGGCCGCGCCTCCTCTCGCGTGTTTTTCAGCCAGCACTGCAACTCTCTCCGCCTCGTTGGGCCAAGGCTGTAAAAGGGCAGGGGAGAACAGAGAACGAGGAACCATTAAGGAAGCTGCACGCCGCGCCACCAGAGCAATCTCCTTGCGCACGCTGCAAACACTGCGAGATGCGCCTCCCCTCGCGTGCTTCTCTTCCAGGACAGCCCCCCTCTCCGAGCCTCGTTGCTCCAAGGCTGCCCTCATGGCAAAGGGAAGAACAGGGAACGAGGAACCATCAAGGAAAAGGGCCTCGCGCACATTGCGAACACTGCAGGCCGCATCTCCTCTCGTGTTCTTTTCAACCAGCACTGCGACTCATTGGTCCAAGGCTAAGAGCATAGAGGAAAGAGCTACAGCCGTTATGCTAACGCGTCACATTTGATTGAGCTCCCACGTTGCAAGTTTCTTGAGATTTGCCAAATATGGCGTCTCAAAAGGTGAGCTCACCTGGCGGTGCGTTGAAAACCCGTACAGCTTTCTCCCCTTCAGCATGTGCTGCTTGAGTGGCGGCAAAGGCTGCAAGCCCGAGCTCCAGAGCAATTCCACCTGCGATTGAAATTCAAATATCAGATAAAATATATATATATATATATATAAAACCAAATTTAATATTGACATATTAAAGTTCTACTGAGGCTCTAGTACCTGCACGAGCCTCAACAACACCTAGCAAACCGCAATCACTATATACAAGCACGTGATCACTGCTATTTTTACCATAAGTTCACTCTTGATAGACGCGAACGTGCTTACAGTGAAGGTGTGCTGCTGCTTCAATTCGCCGTAGCTCTCGATGATCACTCGCCCCGCCACTTGCAGACATCCCGGACAGTTCTTCTTGTGCCTGCGTGCACCATTTCGCGCAATGCAAACGCGGCCTAGAACGGTGAGTCAGGCACTTGAAATTAGGCGGGAAAACAATCGGTTTTGGAACGAAGCGGAAAGGGGGTCTCAGTCTCACCCTTTGAACAGGCACTGCTTGAAGAGCACCACGAGTTTTGAGTCGACTCTAAACTCGACTCATTGCCCGCGGATTATGAGTCGACTCAAACAAGTCTCACCCTTTGAAGAGGCACTGCTTGAAGAGCACCACGTCGTTCCTGCACACGTCGCCTGCGTGGACATTCGACAGAGGAGCATAAAAACAAAAGGCACATAGGGGAAATGAGTGTCTTAAGAAGAAAAGGCTCAAACCGAAAGTTTACCTGGTTCGCCATCAGAGTGCTTAACTGTGCGGTGTATGCTCTACACGTGATAAAAGGGAGCTTTTAAGACGTCTCAAAAACTCCCTTTTATCATCCGGAAGTTTACCCGGTTCGCCATCGAGTGCTTTACTGTGCGGTGTATGGTCTACAAGGTGCGATCTGTGAGCCACTTTGGATTTCTACAAGGTGCGATCTATGAGCCACTTCGGATGTCTAGGCGTCTCAAAGCTCTTTCGAGTGCTGTACTAGAGTAAAGCAAGAGATGCTAGTACCATCTGCATGAATGCGGTTGGGAGGAAGGGATTAAAGGGAGGGGTGGGCGGCCAGAGTTGACTCAAGAATCACGCGGGGTTGCGGGCGCAGGGAGCGAAAGGGCGAGGGTGAGAGAGGGCGAAGGGGCGAGAGGGCGAGTGGGTGAGAGGGCGAGGGGGTGAGAGGGCGAGGGGGTGAGAGGGCGAGGGGGCGAGAGGGTGATAGGGCGAGGGGGCGAGGGGGTGAGAGGGCGAGGGGGGTAGAAGTGGTACGTACCTTTGCAGTGGATGGAGAAGGATTCGGGCGGGTACTTGCGCATGGCTGACGCGACATCGTTGATCCTGATAAAAAAAGACAGAAACGGCGAGGCGAGACAGAAATGGACACAGCTGGCATTTCCAGTCACAGTGAAAGCGTTCACTGCTTCAGCATACAGCAAGCATGGTCGTACGAATGCATTAGAATATTTTCGTGCGAATCTTGAAAGGCAAAAACATCGGAAAATCCACACACTGAATATGGCTCTTCGCCAGAGTGTGTTTGGTTCGGTGGAAAGGGGGAGGACGGAGAGAGGGGAGGGGGAAGTGGGGTGGCGGAGGTAGAATCAGCTTATAACGCGAACAAACTCACTCGACGTGCTCCTGAATGCGGCTGACGAGGACGGGCTTGGCGCCGCTCACTCGCAGGCGGTGGAACCGCAGGTACGCCTGGCACTGCCCAACGGTCATCTCGCTCCACTCACCCGCTGCCAAGCACACGAGCAGATATGATAACAGTGGGGATTGCGCGTTACGGCCTGACTTTGGCTCATGCGGTGGAACCGCAGGTACGCCTGGCACTGCCCAACGGTCATCTGCCTCCACTCGCCCGCTGCCACCCCAACGAGCACATGACAGGATTGCGCGTTACAACTATTTACACGAGGTTTGCCCTGACGTGCATGCTGATTGCGAGACGTAACAACACTTGAAAACTACAACATTTGTGGATTTGACCAGTGACGATTTGAGTTATAGATCGCAGGTTGAACAGCAAAGGCTTTGAACGGATCTCTACAGCAATCTACGGCGCGCACCTTGTATCGAGGATGCTTCTATGTCGACTCAAAAGTCAACCTAAGGGCGAAGTATGAAGCGTACCTTGGATCAATGACAGCGCCTGGGCGTAAACGTCGGACGTGGAGCGTCCCGCTTGAACCGTTCTGTTTCTCAGAGCCCGCACGCTCGCGGCTTCCGACGCGTTGCTTCTCGAGCTCGCTCCACTCCCCGTTTCGGTAGCCTTAACATTGGAAGTCGCCTTGTCGTCACTGCTGCAGCTACTGCTACTGCTTCTGGTGGTAGGCGCGTTAACCGTCATAATGTTTTTTCACCAGATGTACTGCCGTAGATTTCAGAGTGCACAGCCTGTCAAGTACTTGCAACGGAAACTGAGTACTATTAATGAAACGTTGTAACTAGTACTAGTGACCAGTGATAGCGGATTGAATATCTAGCTCCAAATATGGGCCATGTCGTCTTCTCTGAAAGAAAGTGCTGAAGCTAACAAAGCAGCAACATCCATTGTGGTGCTGCTGCGGCTTACCTGTTACGAGACAATGGGGTGGGGGTTGAACTTGTGTTTTGGCGGGGAAAGGCTGCAGAGCAGATCTGATGAAATCGAGCTGACGCAACATCGCGACGCGACGCTTGATTCAATGCGCAATGCCTGACAAGTGCACAGACGAATCACGCACATTGGATGCGTGTACTGTACAGTTGTTCCCTTTTCCCTCGCCTTTTCGAACCTGAAGCGTTCGCGCTTGTCAGAGACACCACCAGGATGGGATGGGAGGAGATGGGCAAAATTGCGCGACGCGCCGGCGCGCGAACTTCTCTCAATCCTATCGACCAAGCTCGCACCGCAGGTAGGGCGACCGAACCCCTCGCAAATGAATCGATCTACATGTGATCTACATGACGTGATATTGACAGCCAATTAAATGTGTAAGAATTGGTGGTCCTTCTAATTGTCACTGTTTCGAGTGGGATAATGTTTGCCAGGTGGTTTTCGTGTTTTCGTAAAAACAAGGTCGCAATTGTGGCTACATTGCCGTGACCTTACAAGTTTCGGTTGTTTTGTCTGTTTCTGGTGGCACAAAAATGTTTCGTGCGCGTGTCACGCTTTTTTTCTACATGCTTTTTTTTGCCGCGTGTTAATCGCGATTTTCTGAAACATCTACGGAGCTCTGAATCTAAGCGGGGGCTGGAAAAAAAAAAACAAACAAACAAACCCCTAAAGGCAGGAACGCAATTCGGGAGGCATCAACCCTAAACACGGGAAGCATGGTGTTTAGGGTTAATGCCTTGAATGTGGAGCAATTCGGGAGGGATCAACCCTAAACACGGGTACTTTCAAGGCGTTTAGGGTTGATGCATTGAAAGTGTGCCGACTCCCTACGGGGTTTGGTTCGTTTTACATCGTATAAAAAACCAGACAAAAAAAAACAGCATAAGACAAGCCTTGTCTGCGCGACCAGACTGAAGTGATGTAACACGTCGCAAAATTTGTCTTTGATGAAAGGATCGAAACCCCAAGCTGTAATCCCGCGATTCTGGCCGTAAAACCAAATGGCACCTGTAACGTTGAGGTAAACTCGTTTGCAGCATGAAAATAACGTGGAAGCGCATGTAGGTCGATCCATTTGGACGAGGTTCGGTCGCCCTACCTGTAGTGCGAGCTTGGTCGATGGGATTGAGAGAAGTTCGCGCGCCGGCGCGTCGCGCAATTTTGCCGAGGAGATGGCTTGGGCTTGTGCGTGGCTGGAGCGAACCAACTGCCTAGATTTCGCGTCACGCCTTTCCATGCCATCCGCACCGTCAATCTGCTCCTCAACCATCAGCTCTGACAGCAGACACAACCCTGGGTCGTTTCAGAAAGGTTTTTTAGCATGGTGCCGCATGGGCCATGGTCACTGGTCCACGGAATGGGGTCAATGGAAAGGGATCATCATGGATAATGTCATGAATCATGATCCATGTGATTCATGAGATGTATGATTTACCGTGGCTGACCAGACCATCCTCAGGAGCAACGGCTCACATTTTGCCTCACAATCCATCCCAAGTGCCATTCAGTCTTGGGATTGCACAGCATAAAGATTCTAATTCCGGCTTGCCTTCAGCTGCTGCTTAGCCTTATCTTGACTTCACAGTTCAATGTCACGGAGGAAAACTGTGTATCAGTTTCTCAGCGCATAGCGTAAAGGAGATATCACGTTTGCCCCTAGCTTTGAATTTTACTATTTAATCACGGTCCAGGTGGCACACTTAGTTTGCGAGTTAAAAGTCAGTAGGTTTTCCCGGCGTGCACGAGTGGTAAAATAGCTCAGCGTGGTCCCACCAGACAGCGTTGACAATTGACAGTACAATGACAGATGAAGAGTCAAAATCAGAGTCTATTTTGCTTATTGACGATGAGAGTGAAACAGCCAGCGACAATGGCAGCGAAAGCAGCAGCGACAGTGACAGTGATGATAGCTGCTGGGAGGTGGATGACGCCGAAACGCTTTCAGACAACGAGTCGGAAATCAAGACAACATCGAAAAGCAAAATCTCAAAGCCTGTTAGCGCCAAGAGTTCGAGGAAGAAGACTGGCGACGATACCACTGATGATACATGCTCTTCGTCTTCCAGTGCTTACGACAAATCTTTATTGCTGATTCAAGGTGAGTTAGATATTGTTTTCTTAGCTCCGTATCCCATTGTTGATAAGATTTCGCGAGTAGTTTACAATCGGTCTTGCTTTTTATCACATTCTAGCTTTCTGTTGCTCTGACCATCTGTTGGTTCTGTTGACAGCGGGAGACTGGAGCAAACTGACCGTTGAGCTGTGCAAGGCTTATCTGAGACATCATTCTTTGAGGATGAGCGGAGTAAAGTCAGACCTGATCAGTCGAATTCAGGAGCATGCGGAGTAAGTTTTCAATATTCTCCGGCGGCGAATACCCTGTTCACGGCTTTGTACGGGAACTCGTCTAGCTGATCATTGACGTGTGAAAATAAACTAACCGTTGTCAAGTGCTGTGCTGTCTTGCTTTCATCCCTACAGGATCAAGGACGTCGCGTCAGCCATGCGAAAGTACCCACCTGCTTCCTTCTCCATCAATTGCACAGGTGATCCGAGCATTTCAATGTATAAACTTTAAAAGACACATCGGCGTGCAACATCCCTGTATGCAACCATGATTGAGTCCTGACAGCATGTGACCTTCGTGTTTAAACTTCTTGCAGGCGATGTTTGCCGGAGGGATGTCGTCCTTTTCAGGCAACGAATCTTCAAAGGGTGAGCCTCGATCATGATCCATCTTCTTCCTGTCCTTCCTGTTACCCACACTAACGTAATCCGCCTCTTCATCGCATTGAATGTTCCGTGCAGAAACAGCAAGAAGTCGAAGTGCCTTGGGTGTCGGATGGTGGCAGGTAGAGTGGCTGCGGAGAGCTATGGTGAAAAGAAGCAGCAGCACACTTTTACTGTAAGCTCCGTTTCTTTCATCAGCGATAAATCACATCGAGGGTTGTTGCTACCCCTTGTTTCCTTGCGGGAGCACGTTCACACGTTTTGATCCCACAATTGCTTTGCTGACACTTGCTTTCTCAGGTGGAGGTGATTTGGAGCACTGGCCTACAGGCGCTACCTCCTATGAAGCAGCTTCTTGTAAAGGGGAGATACTTGTACAAACACAAAACGTTTCGACAAGTAAGCTTTGTCAACGAATCTCTCCAGAAAAGGTCATTCGCGGTTGTACACGTGGTGCAACGGCTCACGCCTTCTCCATCGTTCACAGCAGTGTTTTTCCGCAATAGTTACTTACACCTGTTTTTTTTCCGAGGCCCTCCTGAACAATCTCTATAACCACTGTCTTGTGATCGCAGAGATGGGCTAATGAGGCAGAGCGAGTCGCTGTCATTGGAGAGAAGCACGCACGAGGAGACATGGCTCGCAGCGTTCGCCGAAAGAGGCTTGGGATAAGGACTCCCACGAGGCGATTGCCAGGACGGCCAGGTTATCCCAGCAACTACTATGCTCACTTGGGCAGCAGGAGGCCAGATCATGTGGCAGGTGGCAACACGATGTGGGCTCTGCCAGGGATGGCGGCATCTAGAGCAGGTGTTCTTGGCAGATACCCTGCATTGGGTGACACTGGTGGTGTGGTTTATTGTGGCCAGGCTGGAAGAATGGCAGAGGGAGAAGCAGCAGCAGAGGCAATGCAGAGGCTGGTGGTGCGTGCAGATGGAGAGCAAAGGGAGATGCGTGCCGCAGCTGAGTCTGGTTTGACAAGGGCAGGGAGTGGAAAGAGCAACCATCACGTGAATGGCGGAATGTCTGATCGGGGGAAGGGAAGCGAGGCAGTCAGAGAGGTGCATTTCCCGTTGAGTTCGTTGTCAGTCAATTCGGGCACAGTCAGGTGTCAGTCAAGAAGCAAGGAATTGGACAGAAAAGGCCTGGGGCATGGTAAGTCAAAAGAATTTGGAGAAGCTGCAAGAAATGGTGGGCAAGTGCAAGGTGCTGTGGGTGATCGAGATTCAGCCGGGGACAAAGAGTATCGGTGCTCCAAGCATGTGACATGCACGTCTGCTGATCACCACCACCACCAGCAGACGCATTCTGAGCAGGGTTACAGCCTGCAGCCTCGACATGGTGACGTTGCCAAGGGGAAGTACGGGGCTGCAAGTCCACGGGCTAGCAGGAA